AAAAAAAGTTCAAGAGGAGGGCCAGCAGGTGGCGTGGTGGATTAAGGCATTGGACGCCCACGTGACCAACCCCAGTTGGAGTCCCAGACCTGGAGGCTTGCTTTCTCACTTTCCCTCTTCTCTGTCTCGCTCTTTCTTTCTGTTCCTCTCTGGTCAAATTAAAATAAAGTTAAATAAGATCATTCTTTAAATAACAATAATGATAAATAAAATTAAATAAATAATTTTTTTCTTTTTCTTAATTTTTTTAGGGGGTCTTTGTTATAGGGCGTGTGCGCTCGCCAGACAGACAGAGACACAGAGACAGAAAGCGAGAAATCACCCGCCAGAGGGGATGGCCACACTGCAATCCCTTCTCCTCCATTCTCCTCTCAGGATCTTGGGCACGCACGCACACTTGCCTGGAGTGAGTTTAAGCCACCGGGTCCAGGACTCGAATCGCAGTCCACTACATGGGAGTCCAATGACATAGCCATTACGCCATCTGCTGGTCCCTAAATTAAAAAAATTTTAAAAAATCATAACTGGGCACATGTGCATGTTTGCCCCCTGAGAGGAGAATGGAGGAGGGATTGCAGCATGGCCATCCCCTCTGGCGGGTGATTTCTACTCTCCCTCTCTATCTCTTAGCAAGTGCACACACCCTATAGCAAATAGTAAAAACTAAAAAGCAAAACAAAGGGAATTATACCCAGATCCCAGTGATCCCTGTGTTCTCTCACCCACACACAGGAGCAGCGTTGGCCGGGAGCTGATGTACTCGGGCGTTCGGCGCTGCGTGGCAGCCAGCTGGCAGCCCCGGGAACTGCCCAAATGCAGCACATGCTACAAGTGTCTTGTCCCTGGCGTGACCACTCTGTGTACTTATTTGTGCAGGTCTTCTGGGAAGATCAGGCTGAAATCTGATTCCAAGTCATCGGATGTAGCACTTATGGGAGAATGGACCGTCCCTTAGGGGAGCCAGTAACCCACACAGAAGCCTCAGGACTGGTCCCTGCCTCAGCTCAGGCACAGAGTAGTTACAAAGCAGTTGAGACGTGAAGAGGGAGAGCAAAGCTTCAGCACTTCTAGAGGGACACTGGGAGACGTCCTGAGCCAGCCAGTGGCGTGGAGGTTAAGGCAGCTGGATCCCACATAGCTGACTTCGAAGTTCGAATCCCAACCCTGCATCTTGAAAATCATGCTAGAGGGACCAGCAGTTAGCGTAATGGCTATGTCGCTGGACTCCCATGTAATCGACCGTGGTTTGCAACCCAGACCCGGTGGCTTAAAATTCACACCGGGTGCATGTGCATGCGTGCCCAAGATCCCCAGAGGAGAATGGAGGAAAAGGGATTGCGGCGTGGCCATCCCCCCCTGGGGGGTGATTTCTCGTTTTCTGTCTCTCTGTCTCTCTCTGTCTGGCAAGTGCACGCACCCTATAGCAAAAACCTCTCCTAAAAAAAAGAAAAGAAA